CAATTTGCAGGACTTAGTGGTGATGGACAAGCAATCTCCTAAACCTATAGCCTTGATCCCATTTGTTTTGTGCATTTTTACTGGGAAAATGAAACCTTTTTTTTTTTTTTGAGACGGAGTCTCACTCTATCGTCCAGGTTGGAGTACAGTGGTGTGATCTTGGCACACTGAAACCTCCGCCTCCTGGCTTCAAGCGATTCTCCTTTCTCAGCCTCTTGAGTAGCTGGGATTACAGGTGCCCGCCGTCACACCTGGTTAATTTTTTGTATTTTTAGTAGAGACGAGGTTTCACCATGTTAGGATGGTCTCGATCTCCTGACCTCATGATCTGCCTGCCTCAGCCTCCCAAAGTGCTTGGGATTACAGGCATGAGCTACCATGCCCGGCAAAATGAAACCTATTTTAAACTTTGGCAGGAATTTATTCTAGGAAAAAAACTGATTTTTTTTTTTCTGCCTCCTGCCCCAGCCTCCCCAAATTGATTCTTATGAGTCAAAAAATTAAAAAAAATGTGTAAAAGTGCCAGGCATGGTGGCTCACACCTGTAATCCCAGCACTTTACAGGAGGCTGAGGTGGGAGAATTGCTTGAGCCCAGGAGTTCAAGACTAGCCTAGGCAACAAAGTGAGATGCTACCTCTACCCAAAAAAAAAAAAAAAAAAAAAAAAAAAAAAAAAAAAAAAAAGCTGGGCATGGTGGCATGTACCTGTAGTCCTAGCTACTCAGAAGGCTGAGGTGGGAGGACTGCTAGAATCCAGGGGAAGCTGCAGTGAGCTATGACTGCACCACTGCTCTCTAGTCCTGGTGAAAGAGCAAAACCCTATTTAAAAAAAAAAAGTCTAAAATAACATTTTCCCCAGGGTTCGATTTTGATCTTTAACCATTTATGGAATAATTCTCTAGAACTTCTATTACTGAATCCGTTTCAGTATTTCAGCAGACATCAATACCTAGCTGTCTACCATGTAACTCGTACTGAGGTTCCCATCATCTCTACTGAGACTATGTCTAACAGTTGGTCCTTGTGCATTCTGTTTATGTCAAAAGAAATAAATTTATTCATATATTCATTTAGGAGCTTATTTAGTCACTTAAACAGCCTGATGTAATATTTGGACTTGCTTTTATATTCCATAGCAAATTTTTGGAGCTGATTTACTCTGTAAAGAGAAGCAAGGGATATTATTATATTGCCAGTTTTTATTTCCAGATCAGATGTTTTTGTTTTCTATTCCATTTTTAGTATTTCTTAGGAATCTGGACTTTGAATCTTCTTACAAGTGACAAGTGGGGAGCAAGTCTAACTAACAGTGTAAGAGTTTTTCAGATACTTTGGACTTCTTTAAAGTGGGATGTGGGGTGGAGAATCCAACTGAAACAGTACTGTTTTCTTTTTTTATATAGTTTAATGTGTTTTAATAGAAAACTTACAGGAACAGCACAGAAGACAGACAACATTAAAAACATGTACTTGCATGTAGGACAACTCAGAAAAGTACAGTGAATGGATGGAATCTACTGTGTGATAAAAATGCTACAAACACCATTTAGTTGCCGTCAATAAGAAATTCACTTGTTTTTTAAAAAATCCAAATGCTGGCATTGTCCAGAAAAATTTAACAGGTTTCTTTATAATTATTATAAAGTTGAACCGCTGAAACTTGTTCACTGAAACATTTTAGCTTGCATTAATGCTTTACGTCTCCACATTTATATTAAAGATTCACACACAAATGAAGATGGAAAAACTGCCAATACCTGATTTCTGTCCCCTATTTTTCCACTCACAATCATATACTTATGTACCTTTTGACCCCATGGAAAAAAAATTAACGTTCAGAACTACCAATAACAGGAAGAAGATAACTTTTTTTTTTTTAGAATGAAATATTTCCCATCATAGTTGATTCTTAAGCACTCTCCATGTATGCAGCGTGCTAGCTGGATATCTTTTGGCATAATTGTTACATGTTTGTCATGGATAGCACAAAGGCTGGTGTCTTCGAAAAGGTCAACCAGATAGGCCTCACTTGCCTCCTGCAAAGCACCGATAGCTGCGCTCTGGAAGCGCAGATCTGTTTTAAAGTCCTGAGCAATTTCTCACACCAGACCCTGGAAGGGACGTTTGCGAATTAAAAGTTCAGTGGACTTCTGATAACGTCTAATTTCACGGAGTGCCAAGGCCTGTAACGATGAGGTTTCTTCACCCTCCAATAGAGGGCGCACTCTTGTGAGCGGCGTTTGTAGCCAGTTGCTTCCTGGGTGCTTTACACCAGTAGATTTGCGGGCAGTCTGCTTTGTACAAGCAATGGTATAGAGACCTCCTTACTTACCCCCCTTCTCCTTCGGCTGAAGCTCAGCGAGCGAGAGACTACGCTGGCATTGGAGAGCGACGGTGGCGCAGTGGCAGCTGCAAACACAATTCAGTAAAGATTTCTTTAAATGTTTTTCTTTTCAACTGTGTCTGCCCCAGGACTTCTAAGTTTCAAAAATTTGAGTAACTGTAAATTTTCTGCAGCATTTCCTCAAAGAGAAAGCACAACATATAAAATGCATCTGAGTGAGATGAAATTAGAAACAAAAGACTAGTTCTTAGCCAGGCGCAGTGGCTCATGCCTGTAATCCCAGCACTTTGGGAGGTTGGGGCAGGCAGATAACCTGAGGTCAAGAGTTTGAGACCAGCCTGACCAATATGGTGAAACCCTGTATCTGATAAAAATACAAAAATTAGCTGGGCATAGTGGCGGGCACCTGCAATCTCAGTTACTTGGGAGGATGAGGCAGGGGAATCACTTGAACCCGGGAGGTTAAGGCTGCAGTGAACCAAGAGTGTGTTACTGCATTCCAGCCTGGGCGACAAGAGTGAAATTCCATCTCAAAACACACACACACACACACACACACACACACACACACACACACACACACACACGGTGGCTGTAATCTGAAAGGGGAATAAATTGTTGACATTTCAGTTGAGAGTCCCTTATTCCTACCCTCCATTCTTAATTCTAAACAATGTATCTCTTACTTTTAACGCAGACCACCACAAAAGGTAAATATTATTGCAAAAAAAAAAAAAAAAGACCACCAACAACAAAAACACCAAAGAGATAAAAACAATCTAAACCAAAACAATCATGAAAAGTTCCGGATTATTGTAATTTTGTTCTGAATAATTTATTGATAAAGACACATTTGCAAAGAAATGTTGATTTATTTTTAATATCTAAGAAGCATTTCTTTTGACATGATGAAATCAGGTCTATAAGCCAAGACATGGTGTAATCAGGTCTACGCCAATAATTTGGTAACCTACACAATAATGGCAGCTGGAATTTTTTTTGAGATGGAGTCTCACTCTGTTGCCCAGGCTGGAGTGCAGTGGTGTGATCTCGGCTCACTGCAACCTCCACCTCCCGGGTTCTAGCAGTTCTCCTGCCTCAGCCTCTTAAGTAGCTGGGATTATAGGCTCGTGCTACCACAGCTGGCTAATTTTTTATTTTTAGTAGAGATGGGGTTTTACCATGCTGGCCAGGCTGGTCTCAAACTCCTGACCTCAGGTGATCCACCTGCCTCAGCCTCCCAAAGTATTGGGATTATGGGCATGTGCGACCACACCTGGCTAATTTTTTATTTTTACTAGAGACAGGGTTTTACCATGTTGGCCAGACTGGTCTCGAATTCCTGACCTCAGGTAATCCACCTGTCTCGGCTTCCCAGAGTGCTGGGATTATAGGCGTGAGCCACTGCACCTGGCCTATATATACTATTTTTATATCATTAATTACCAACTTTTGGAAACATGTTCCAATATTGAAAAAATGTTACTCAACTGAAGACATAACTTATTGTAAAGCTAATTTCATTTAAACGGTCCCTGAAAATTAGCAGACGGGTATCACCATTCATTTAAAATGTTTTGACAAATGTTTTCAATGAGGAGGCATTTTTGAGGGTAAAATATTGAAAGCAAGAATGCTAATTTTCCATGTCACTCTAATGGGGGAGTAAAAGAGTAAATCTTAAAAAATACTAATACTAATAGGTATATTCCTGTCAATACTATTAGTAAAAGTACAATCTCCACATAAAGGTTCTATTTATTGGTGTTCTTTGTTAGAGGTGCTGAAATAAAAACTAAATTGGCAAATTTATTAAATAATCACCTAACGAGTAAAATTTTACCTGAGAGTCAGTGATATAAACATTTAAACTATGTAAGATACCCATATTAGATGGTCGAATGGAAAATTAAAATAAAGAGGGACTAAATACTTCCTTACCCCACACATTCTCAGACTAAACAGGTATCTGACAATGGATAACTGTATTTATATAAATAAAGGCATTCACCCTTACATTTATTTCTGTGATATGTACATGTGATGCTCAAAATGCTCCACTACAATAATGTATCATGATCTCACATAAAATCCTAATCTTTTCATTTCTTAAGATTGATTAAGTTACTGATGTTCTTGGTAAACAAATATATTTCTCTTTAGGGTATGTTATTTTATGATTTGCAGATTGTGTGTAACCATTCTTCACCAGTCTGGAAAGCCAGAAACCAAAACCAAAAGAAAGAATAATTCTGTTGGATGTAATAATTTCTTGCCAAGCAAAATCCCTTAGTCTAGAACACTGAGTAGATTTTTCAAAGAAAATGTTCCTTTTTGTCTGGGCACAATAGCTCACACCTCTAATCCCAGCACTTTGGGAGGCTGAGGCGGGCGGATAATTTGAGGCCAGGAGTTTGAGACTAGCCTGGCCAGCACGGTGAAACCTTGTCTCTACTAAAAATACAAAAATTAGCCAGGCGTGGTGGTGTGTACCTGTAATCCCAGCTACTTGGGAGGCGGAGGTTGCAATGAGCAGAGACACAAATGTCTCCCTACATCCAATATTCTGAGAGTAGTTTATGATTACCATCTATATTGTTACTTTCAAAAGATAACTTTTGTTTCACAAACTGGATACACAGAAACATATGAACTCTTTACCTTAAAATTGAGAAATTTATTTTTTTTCCATGAAATAGTAAGCAGAATTAAAGAAATATACAGCTTAAAACAGTTAAAATAACCTTAGAATTTTAATGACAATTATACATTTATGGCCAAAGGAAAAAATGAATAGTTTTAAATAATGAATTCACTTTAAAAGTTTGCTTAATAATTCATCTGAAATTACATGGATACAAGGATAACTGGGATCCGGGCACCTTGTAAAATAAAATAATGCCACTTTATCCTTCGCAAAAAAATTGTTATCCCAGTATAACAGTGGTTCGGTTCTGCTCCCCACTCACAGTAGCCACCGTTCTACCATTTACAAACATGTCAACTCAGTCTTCCTGCTATGTAAGGATGCCTATTTCAGTTCCATTAAAAATACTTCCAGTAGGCAGTCAGAGAAAATGACTTACTTAGCCCCACTCAGAGTAGAGGATCAGTATGTCAACACATTGTTCGGTCATGGCTTTCTTCTCGTGCTCACTGAGGTCAAATTTCCTCATATAATTATAAATGTTAAAAGATAAAATTACATCTTCACAGCAGCCAAAAATTTATATATTTTTTATGTATTTACAATATTGTACATATTTACATGACCACTTCAAATACTGGACTGTAGAAACAAGTGACCATCTATAAAGGCATTCATTTAATGCCCAAGCATTATTTTCTTGTGCAAACGGAAACTTTTTCAAACTTCTGTTAGAAAGCTAAAGACAGTCAACATTGTGAAGGCCACCATCCATGGTTAAAGAGCCAAACCTAAAACACACACAAAAAGAGAAAAGGTAATCTCAAAATATTCATTTATGTATAAAGGCCCCCAACATTCAAATACTTTTCAGAGGAATAAATAGCTATTTATTTTTAAAGAGTTTAAGCAGTTATGATTTGTTCTATTTCTTACTGGAACAGCATGCTATATCATAAATGCATGAGAAACTGATATGATGCAATGAAGAAAGTATTAGTAAGAACTGGATAATTTCTTTCTGGTGGGGTGGGATTTGTTTTTATTTTTATTTATTTATTTATTTAGAGACAGAGTTCTGCTCTTGTTGCCCAGGCTGGAGTGCAATGGCACGATCTTGGCTCACTGCAACCTCCATCTCCCGGGTTCAAACAATTCTCCTGCCTCAGCCTCCCAAGGAGCTGGGACTACAGGTACACACCACCACACCCAGCTAACTTTTTTCTATTTATAGTAGAGACAGGGTTCTCCATGTTGGTCAGGCTGGTCTCCAACTCCTGACCTCAGGTGATCCACCCGCCTCAGCCTCCTAAAGTGCTTGGATTACAGGTGTTAGCTACCGCGCCCAGCTGGGATTTATAAACTAAGATAGAGTTGGGGCCAGGCGTGGTGGCTCATGCCTGTAATCCCAGCACTTTGGGAGACTGAGGCAGGTGGATCACTTGAGGTTGGGAGTTTGAGACCAGCCTGGTCAATATGGCAAAACACCTTCTCTACTAAAAATACAAAAATTAGCCAGTGTGGTGGCACACGCCTATAGTCCCAGCTACTCAGGAGGCGAGGCAAGAGAATTACTTGAACCCTGGAGGCAGAGGTTGCAGTGAGCCAAGATCACACCACTGCACTCCAGCCTGGGTGACAGAGTGAGGCTTTGTCTCAAAAAAAAAAAAAAAAGACATTGAGTGTGACATACCCAAGAGATGATGACAAATGATACCTTGCTAGAAAAGAATGTTATTTTGGAGAGCAGTGGGAAGTAAAGTTGGATGAACAGGCTGGAACCAGACTATTATACTCTTTGAATGGAAGTATGAATTTAGACTTGACTTTTTAGGTAACAGGAGTTTAGAAACTTTTGAGCCAAAGAAGTCATACAAATACATCAGTATTCTGAAAGATGATTTTGGCTTTAATGCCCATGACAGATGGGAAGAGCTCGGGGTTAAGAAAAAACTAGGTTAATACCATACATCACATATGAAAGGGAAAGGAGATCTGAATGAGGATGATGAGGGGGAAGGATGGGAGACAACTTGTTGAGAGGGAGTAAAGAACATTAGGAGTCTACAATAATTTATGTTTAAGGGAGTAAGAGAAAGGTGGTACCTCAGAATAGGATAAGGAGATAGAGGGAAAACTGAGTTGGGATGAGTTTAGATATGAAAAAAAAATTGAAGTGATAGTGGGTGATCCACATGGAGACAGTAGAATACTCTGAACAAAATCTGGCTTCCATTACTAGTTTTGTCATTTAACATTTAAGATTATGCCATGTTATATCACCCATATCTTGTCAAGAAACCTGCAAATAAAACATAGGAGGAACTGACTTACTAAATGTGGTTTAGGAAGTTGGAATTTTATTCCACAAGGCATAAGTACGTAAATATAAAAGTGTGTTAAAAGCACATCTTTGGCGGGCTGTGGTGGCTCAAGCCTGTAATCCCAGCACTTTGGGAGGTGAAAGCTAGTGACATGAGGTCAAGAGATCGAGACCATCCTGGTCAACATGGTGAAACCCTGTCTCTACTAAAATTACAAAAATTAGCTCTGGGTGGTGGTGCACACCTGTAGTCCCAGCTACGTGGGAGACTGAGACAGGAGAATTGCTTGAACCCAGGAGGTGGAGGTTGCAGTAAGCCAAGATCGCATCAATGCACTCCAGCCTGGTGATGGAGCAAGATTCCATCTCCAAAAAAAGCGTATCTTTACAGTCTCTTCTACTTGCTGATCTTTAAGCCTAAAAGGATTTAGGTAAAGTTGTGAAGAAACTGTAAATTGGATACTATAAATAGTTAATTACTACAAACAAGAAAAGTATTTTAAAAAATTAACAAGCAATTCCCACCAAAAATAAAAACTGAGCAAACATATAAATGATGTTTGACATCACCATAAACCACAGAAATATAAATTAAGATCTCAGTTTTTACTAAACAAATTGGGGAACGTTTAAAAGACTGATAACATTCAATGTTGCCAAAGGCACAGGTCTTGTCTGTTTAGGACTATAACAAACACCATTTTAAGGAACAAAATTTGCCAGGTGCAGTGGCTCACGCCTGTAATTTCAGCACTTTGAGAGGCTGAGGCAGGTGGATCACCTGAGGTCACAAGTTCGAGACCAGCTGGCCAACATGGTGAAACCTCGTCTCTACTAAAAATATAAAAATTAGCCGGTGTGGTGGCAGGCACCTGTAGTCCCAGCTACTTGGGAGACTGAGGCAGGTGAATCACTTGAACCCGAGAGGCAGAGGTTACAGTGAGCTGAGATTGTGTCATTGCACTCCAGCCTGGGCAACAGCAAAACTCTGTCTCAAAAAAAAAACCCCAAAATTATTAAAACCCACCATAATTTAAATTGGCATACTCTCCAACCCAGAAATTCCGTATCTAGAAACATCTAAAACTGGTTCCTCAGAAATTCCCATGCAAATACAGGAAGATATATATACAAGATGCTCAATGAAGCATGGTCTGTAACTGTGAAAAATCAGAAACTTAAATGCCCAATAAATACACAAGGACAGGAGGCTGGGTTCTAGCTCTAGCTCATCTTCTCAGGGTATAAATTTAATACCTGTGGAACATGGATAGACTATCCAAGGTTGAAATGTACATTCCATGAGACAGTGCAGTGGGAAAGTGCCCTGCAAGGGTACAAATGGGAGATATATATATATATTTGTTTGAGACAGAGTCTCGCTCTGTCATCCAGGCTGGAATGCAGTGGCATGATCTTGGCTCACTGCAACCTCCACCGCCCAGATTCACGCGATTCTTGTGCCTCAGCCTCCCAAAGTACTAGGATTACAGGTGTGAGCCACTGTGCCTGGCCAAATGTGAAATATTTTTATTAGCATTACAAGGCTTTGAGAACTTACAGAGGAGCACCTAAGGGCTTGAAAAAGAAAAGATTCCATTACAGCGCCAAATATGACTTAATTTCTCTGAGGAATCAGGATAAGGAAAACAGCCATCCAAATATTGCTTTATTGGCTCTGTATGTTTTTAAAAATCTCTTTTGGCCTTATCTATTAGGATTTTGCAGATAATAAGCAGCCACATAGCTCCTCAAAGTAATGCATTTACCTATGGCTTTCCCATGCAAGGAGGTGTGCAGAGGACTCTGTAAGCTACTTAGCACCAGAGTGCTAGTGTCTTAACAAGAAACTCTGATTCCCCAAATTGAAAATTATGACTCCAATGAATAAGTTATAAAAAATAATGTAAATAGAGTTTGGTCTTTACAAACTGATTCAAATAAGCAAGTAATTCAATTAACCAGTTATTCTATAAAATGGAACCAATCAACCATTAAAAGGCATCAAAAATTCACAATCATACTGAGAGAAAAACAATGAGTTCTGACTTTATGACCCTTTACCACTGCTGAATCTATTCACACAGGAAGATATAAGTACAGATGTGTATGAACTCAATTGCACAGAAAATCAGAATAATTATTTTTGCATTACTCACCTTTCTAAAATGTGGTTATTTTCAGCAAGTTCTTTAACCACTCCTTTCATCTCTTCCTTTAGTTTCTTCATACTATATAAAATAAACAAGCACCTTTGCTTTAAAAAAGTATGCAGATGTTTTAGAATGATGTTTATGTTTCAGTTTTCTAAACTTAACTAGTCAATAAATAACCTTTTAAGCACTGTATTACAACAAACATCAAACATTTCAAAATGTAAGAGCAAGAGCACAAATTGCAATAAAAGCAAATGGAAACACTACAGTTACCAAATGAGTTTCTTACCCAAGAGTCATTTCTACTAATGTGTTAGAACTTGGATAAATTGGGGTCATGGTATGTTTGATTCCACTGGAAGCTGCAAACATTTTCTGAGGCAAAGTTTCTTGTAACTAAAAACATCAAAAAAAAAAGAAAAAAGAAAAATAACCACATTAATCACAGAACAAAAGTACTTACTACAGATCTGACATCAAGTGTTGGAGCTTTTAATAAGTCTTATAAAAATTTTAAATTTTGATTTCAAAAGTATCAATGATACAATACTTAATCAACACCCTTGTAAGAAACTTTCTCACACAGATGATAAAAGGATGGTTTATCAGCTGTTTTTAAAACATCTAGACTTTTAAAACTTGGCTCAAAATACATATGAAAAATTTGTGGGTGGAACCAAATATAGGCACATTCTATCCCATTTTTCCCTTGTCAATCACTATCAGTTATAAACTGAGAAGAATTTTAATTTTTCTTAATGAGAAAAATGCTTTTTTCTAGATACTTTTGATAGTTATACTTACCTCATTAGTATAGTCTTGATACTTTGATACTTCTTCTTCAATATCAAAACACTGATTAGTCAGAGAAAATAACTGTTTCCTCAGATGAAGCATCTTTCTGAAAACCAAAAAGAATCCATTGATATGCAGTCTAGGGAAACATTCTCACTTCAAATGTACATTTCTATTGTGCAGTCAACCACTCATCACTCCAAAAGAAGTTTACTCACCTCATCCATTCTTCTGACTTATTCAAAAATGCCTCGTACTTTTTAACACACTCATCTGTAAAGTGTGTCATTGCTTTTGTTGCATGGTAATACAGTTTTTGCCTGTAATTTAGAAATAATCAAAAAGGCTTAAACCAATGTCACTGTTTCTACTTTCAATATTTAGAAATTTTCAAACATATGAAATGTATCTGTTTCCTATAATGACTGTTGTGGCTTTAGAATATTTACAGTAGAAAGTAAACATTTCTAAGATAGACATTATAGCAGCAAGAAGTGAAAGAAAAGGTTCAAAATGGATGTTAAAGAAAATGCCTATTGAATGAGGTTAAAGTTAAGACAGTGGTTAAGTCTGCCCTCCTATGTGCTCTATTATCTGTCCTTCTGTAATGAAAGCACAGGAGGCAGAAGGTGACTGAGTGGAATGGTAACGTTTGTCCCTGCTCCTTCTCCCACTGTGGTAACTTCCCAATTAAGGAGCAGATGCATGACTTCAAAAATGTGTACATATTGTAACAATCCTGTAAAATCAAGATTAATATGTATTTTTAATTATAATTAATTTCAACTTGAATCATATTAATAAAGATCACCAAAAATAATTATTAAACATAATCTGGATACTTACTTATCAAATTTGTGGATTTGTTCTTCATTATAAGCTAGTCCTAGAAATAAGAAAATATATTACTGTTGTTAATGTAGAATCATAACATCATAGACAATATATTTTATTTTGAGATTACTGCTTCAAAATGGCTAAGAATTTGAAGCAGATGTCATAGATATGTGACTCATGAGCTACTTATGGCCCACAGATGCTTTTATTTGGTCTGTAAAGAACAATGTAAAAAAACAATTAACTGTCAACATTTAAAAATCAAGATATTTCTAAGCAAAGCACACTGCCATGTGTGTACCTACGCAACTGTCTTGCATGCTCTGCTCATGTACCCCAAAACCTATAATCCAATAAAAAATTAAAAAAAAAAAAAAAAAAAAAAAAATCAAGATATTTCTAACAAAAACTTTGTATTTCTAGCTTTTGGTTTTGTTTTTTTTTTGAGATGGAGTCTTGCTCTGTTGCCCAGGATAGAGTGCAATGGCACAATCTTGGCTCACCACCACCTCTGCCTCCCAGGTTCAAGCGATTCTCCTGCCTCAGCCTCCTGAGTAGCTGGGATTACAGGAATGCGCCACCACGCCCGGCTAATTTGTTTTAGTAAAGACGGGGTTTCGTCATTTTGGTTAGGCTGGTCTCCAACTCCTGACCTCAGGTGATCCGCCCACCTCAGCCTCCCAAAGTGCTGGATTACAGGCGTGAACCACTGCACCCGACATTTCTAGCTTTTTTTGAGAACTGGGAAGACTGGGCAATACCTCTGGTGAATCTGAGTAGTGGCTCTCCCCTGTAGATGAGTCCCCACTGGCCAATTTCATTCCTTTCTGTAACCTGCCTAGCCTTTAGAGGTTCTGGAGTTCATGACCCTGATTTAAAGTATTCAAAAGGTTGATTTTAAGAACAGTTTTTTTGCACAACCTTTTTCCTGACAGAATCACATCTCTGAAACAGCTTAAGAAGCCACCCTTAAAGATATACCAAATTAATGAAACTGAACTACAACTAATTACTGAGTAATTTATTAAATTAAAAAATAGCAAATTTTACTTACTACGTTCTGCTTTGTCTTTTTTGAACTGATAGTAAATCTCTGTCATGCAATTTAACAGGACTTGTAGTTTTTCTACACTATTTAAGGAAGAAAAACTCATATAAATTAACTGAGTCAATGTGAAAAAGGACATATATAAGAGCAGAAACGACGCATAAAGCTATAACCTACTTTCTGTCTTTTGGATGAGTGCCTTCTTGATGTGCCCAGGCATCTGCCAGCAATCCGCCTGGAGATAGTCTGCTGTCAATATCCTGAAGACTGGTTTCTATTGTTCCCTGAGAACTGGAAAGCTAAATAAAACCAAAGGTTGAGATCCAGATTGCCAAAAGCTTTTTTTGAGAAACAATCATCGCAGTGTCAACAAAGTTTAAAGTCTGAACCACATTTCTTTTGTAGATTACTTCAATTCAAAGGCACAGTAATTATTTCCATTTTTAAATACAAGAGTTTCTTAGGTTGATTTCCACCAGGGGTACAATATGATTATAAAATGTGAGACTAGCATTAATATATCTTATAAAACATTTCATTCAGTAAATACCCTTCTAAAACAACATGTAAAATACTTCAATCTTGTTTCCTTATCTGTAAAAAGTGTTTAATTCTCCATTTCATAGCCCTGTTGTAAAAATTCAATAGAACCACTAGAACAGTCCCAAGCATAAACTATGTAAGTAGCAAGATGTGTGCTCTTGTTTAGAGGCCAAACCAAAGCAACTACTCTTAAAAACAGAAAATGAAAAGAAACCTCATCTAAGATTCTGTTCATTTTAAGTTTAGTAAATTTATCACTTGCCTGCCACAGAAATGCATATAGTATTTGTAAAACTTGTGAAGAAAGGATGAGGCTAGACTTAAAGGATTAATATGTCCAAATATTTCAAAGGTCCTGATACACACTACTGCCTTTCAAATAATGTTGTCAGTAGCAGCTGACATTGCCACTAGCAACAAACAAGGGTGCCTTTTAAACCACACTCTTGTCAGCACTGGCATTATAATTTTTTAAGCCCTGATAATCTGAAAGATAAAAACAGTATCTTACTGTTATACAAGTTTTTCTTACTATTGGATTTGAGCATTTTTTTCAAGATTTTTAACTCAGTAACAAAATATGTATATACCTGAATCAAAAGTTTCAGCAGATATATTTTCATTTATAAATTGTCTCTAAATGTTCTTTGCTCATCGAGTTTTTATAAGTTAACTATTTTCCTTATCAATTTGTATGAGTTAGTTTTATAAAAAATGCTTTATCATATTTTCCCAACTTATTTGCTTTCTAAGATTTTTTAAACATACCAAGATCTTAAATGGTTATTTTATTTTTGAAACAGGGTCTCACTCTGTCACCTAGGCTGGAGTGCAGTGGGGCAATTGCAGCTCACTGCAACCTCTGCATCCCGAGTTCAAGCCATCCTCTCACCTCAAGCCTCCCAAGTAGCTGTGACTAGAGGTGTGTGCCATCACACCTTGCTAATTTTTGCTTTTTTTTTTTTTTGGTAGAGATGGGGTTTCACCATGTTGCCCAGGCTGGTCTTGAACTCTTGAGCTCAACCAATCTACCCCCACCATGGCCTCCTAAAGCACTGGGATTACAGGTGTGAGCCACTGTGCCCTGCTTAAACTTTTATATGATCAAATATATACCTTGGTTTTTATGTTTTATGTCTTTATTAACATTAGTGTTTAGAACGTGTTAAATTATACATCCAATATATGGGAAATAGTTTATGGAAAAAGTTATTTCTTACAGCATTACATAGAAGAGTGAAAAGCAAACTGAAGGACCAACAGTAAAGGAGTAAGAAGACTGTAATAAATCCACTGGCTGCAATATCATATCATTAAAAAATTGGTGTTATAAAAAAAAACCTGGGAAATGCCTATACTACAATGTTATACAAAAAGTTAAAAATAATAATCATGTTTGTAGAGTAACAATCATTTAATAATACATATATAAAAGAAAACCAAAACAGTGGTTGACCAAATTTTAGCAGCATGAGAATCACCTGGAAGGCTTATTTAAAAAGGCCTTTGCAACCTAGAAATAGAAATTCCATTTGACCCAGCAATCCCATTACTGGGTATATATCCAAAGGATTATAAATTGTTCTACTATAAGGACACATGCACCTGAATGCTCACTGCAGCACTGTTTACAATAGCAAAGACCTGGAGCCAACCGAAATGCCCATCGATGATAGACTGGACAGGGAAAATGTGGCACATATACACCATGGAATACTATGCAGCCATAAAAAACTATGAGTTTGTGCCCTCTGTAGGGACATGGATGAACCTGGAAACCATCATTCTCAATAAACTGACACAAGAACAGAAAATCAAACACTGCATGTTCTTACTCACAGATGGGTGTTGAGCAATGAGAACACGTGGACACAGGGAGGGGAGCATCACACACTGGGGTCTGTCGGGGGAAATATGGGAGGGACAGTGGGGGATGGGGAGTTGGGGAGAGATGGCATGGGGAGAAATGCCAGATATAGGTGAAGGGGAGGAAGGCAGCACATCATACTGCCATGTGTGTACCTATGCAATTATCTTGCATGTTCTTCACATGTACCCCAAAACCTAAAATGCAATTAAAAAAAAAAAGAATAAATTAAAAAAAAGGCCTCGGCTGGGTTCTACCATCAGAGCTGCTGACTCAACATATCCAAGGTGAGGTCCCAAAATGTGCATTTCTACTAAGTTCCCGTGTGAGGCTGATACTGCTGGCCCAGGAGCCACTCTCTTCTTTATTTTTTGAGACAGGGTCTCACTCTGTCACCCAGGCTAGAGTACAGTGGCATAATCTCAGCTCACAGCCACCTCCATCTCCTGGGTTCAAGTGATTCTCTTGCCTCAGCCTCCCCAGTAGCTGGGATTACAAGCATTCGCCACTATGCCTAGCTATTTTTTGTATTTTTAGCAGAGACAGGGTTTCACCATGTTGGCCAGACTGGTCTCGAACTCCTGGCCTCAACTGATCCACTCACCTCAGCCTCCCAAAGATCTGGGATTACAGGCATGAATGAGCCACGACACCTGGTGGCCCAGCAGCCACTCTGAGAAACAATGCTGCAGGGCTATGGACAAAACTTTTAAGAATCACTTTTTTGAGTGCAGAATATATGTGGTATTTTTTCTACTTATAAATTTTACTTTTGTGGTGGGAAAAACTTTTTTGTTTTTTTTTTTTTTTTGAGACGGAGTCTTGCTTTTATCAGGCTGGAGGGCAGTGGCGCAATCTCAGCTCACTGCAACCTCTGCCTCCTGGGTTCAAGAGATCCTTCCGCCTCAACCTCCTGAGTAGCTGGGACCACAGGCGCATGCCACCATGCCCGGCTAATTTTTTGTGTGTGTTTTTAGTAGATTTTATTTTATTCACCATTTTATTCACCATGTTGGCCAGGATGGTCTCGATCTCTTGACCTCACAAAGCGCTGGAATTACAGGCGTGAGCCACCGCACCCGGCCCTCTTTTTTTTTTTGAGACAGAGTCTTGCTCTGTCACCATGCTGGTGTGCCATGGCGCAATCTCAGCAGCTCACTGCAAACTCTACCTCCTGGGTTCAAGCGATTCTCCTGCCTCAGTCTCCTGAGTAGCTAGGATTACAGGCACGTGCCACCATGCCCAGTTACTTTTTAATTTTTGTATTTTTAGTAGAGATGGGGTTTCACCATGTTGGTCAGGCTGGTCTCGAACTCCTGACCTTGTGATCCACCCACCTTGTCCTCCCAAAGTGTTGGGATTACAGGTGTGAGCCACTGCACCTGGCCAGAAAAATTTCTTTAAGGTCTCACTAGGAAAGGAGTTACAACAACTCAACAGGTTATGAGAAAAAATGAAATCTAGGGAAAAGTAATTGGCTTGAAGTGAAAAGTCCTAATGTCATAAGACTCCACTACCTCAAGCTATTTGGTTATCTATGCTTTCTCATAAGAAATCTTAATCTCACAGAAATATCATAAAAATGGAAAAAATTTTGAGATCCCCAAAAGAAAACATATAATTTTGATTGAAAGTGCTCAAATGATGCTGGCCCTGGAAATAAATGTCTACTAGGCCTGTGAGCTGGTAAATCATGTTCTAAAGTGAAAACAAAGAATATAAAACACTGACAGCAAGATGGCTGCCTATATTTAAATGCAGACAAATACTGGGGAAGACTATTTTGTGCTTTCTGACTTTTAATCACTTTATTCTATAGCTATGGTTTTCAAACTTTCTTGATCACAGCTCATAGTAAGAAATTCACTGTTTTAACTCAGTAACATTTAAAGTGTGTATATACCTGAATCAAAAGTTTCCTGAACAGCCAGGTACAGTGGCTCACACCTGTAATCCCCAGCACTTTGGGAGACCAAGGTGGGCAGATCACAAGGTCAGGAGTTTGAGACCAGCCTGGCCAATATGGTGAAACCGTCTCTACTAAAAATACAAAAATGAGCCAGGCATGGTGGTGGGTGCCTGTAGTCCCAGCTACTTGGAAGGCTGAGGCAGGAGAATCGCTTGAACCTGGAAGGCAAAGGTTGCAGTGAGCTGAGATCACACCACTGCACTCCAGCCTCGGTGACAAAGACTCCATCTCAAAAATGAAAAAAAGTTTCATGAACAATAATTTCCTTATTATATGTGATGCATTCTGACATTTTCTATTCTGTTCCATTTAAAAACACATTGCTGATTACAATGCACTCAACTTCATAACCTACTAGTTGTTCATTACTCATAGTTTGGAAACCATTGTTTGAGATCTAAAACTGAGGAAAAGAAACAACTAAACATCAGCCTAAGCTGGAAAGAGAAAAGAATATTGTATCAAGTTCCTTCCATTCATTCTTTCATTCACTCATTTACTCATTTATTCATTTATTTGAGACAGGGTCTTGATATGTTGCCCAGGCTGGCATACAGTGGCTATTCACAGGCGTGATCCCACTACTGATCAGCACGGGAGTTTTGACCTGCTCCGTTTCTGACCTGGGCTGGTTTACCCCTCCTTAGGCAAGCTGGTGGTCCCCCACTCCTGGGAGGTCACCATATTGATGCTGAACTTAGTGTGGACACCAATTGGCATAGCACACTACAGCCCAGAACTCCTGGGCTCAAGCAATCCTCCCACCTCAACCTCCTGAGTAGCTGGGACTACAGGCATGTACCACCGTGCCTGGCAAGTTCCTTTCACTTTTCATTTAATATCCATTTTATGAAAGAATACTTCAAATGCTAAAGCTTGCAAACTTACAACACATTTATTTATTTAGAGACAGAGTTTTGGCTCTATTACCTAGGCTGGAGTGCAGTGACATGATCTTGGCTCACTGTAACCTTTGCCTCCTGGGCTCAAGTGGTCATCCTGTTTCAGCCTCCCAAATAGCTAGGACTACAGGTATGCACCATCATGCCTGGCTAATTGTTTCATATTTTTTTGTAGAGATGGGGTTTCGTCATGATGCCCAGGCTGGTCTCAAACTCCTGGACTCAAGTGATTCATCCAACTCAGCCTCCCAAAATGCTGGGATTACAGATGTGAGCCACTGCTCATAGCCAAGAGTACAGTATTTTTTATTTATCTCATTTAATTGGTACAACAGCTCATAAGATGAGCAGTATAAGAAATTGATGATTTTAGAGAAAAAGAAACCAAGGATGCAAAGAATTAAAGGCCTTTCTTAAGTAGCCAGCCATGAATAGGCAGGTAAATAGGGGCAGATCTGGGATTAGTAATTAGCTCTCACTGATTACTAATATATAAATCTGTGCACTTCCGTAATATTTTTTTGAGACAGAGTTTTGCTCTTGTTGCCCAGGCTGTAATACAATGGCATGATCTTGGCTCACTGCAACCTCTGCCTCCTGGGTTTAAGTGATTCTCCTACCTCAGGCTCTTGAGTAGATGGGATTACAGGCATGCAGCACTACACCTGGCTAATTTTTGTATTTTTCATAGAAATAGGGTTTCTCCATGTTGGTCAGGCTGGTCTTGAACTCCCAACCTCAGGTGATCCGCCCACCTTGGCCTCCCAAAGTGCTGGGATTACAGGCGTGAGCCACCATGCCCAGCCTATAATATATTTTAATAAGAGATTCAGAGACTCCCTGAAATTCTGTATTTTATAGCGGAGAAGAGATGTATGTCCTAATTCCTTTTTCTAACTATAGAAATGATTGCCTCCCTGAGGATCTCGAATCTTTCTTTCCTTAAATTTTTATTTTAGAAAAAAATCTGGTAATATTTTCCTAATTTAAATCTCTCTCTTTTTTTTTTGAGGCTGAGTCTCACTCTTGTCACCCAGGCTGGAGTGTGATGCCACGATCTTGGCTCACTGCAACCTCTGCCTCCTGGGTTCAAGCAATTCTCCTGCTTCAGCCTCCCAAGTAGCTGGGATTATAGGCACCAACCATGCCCAGGTAATTTTTGTATTTTTAGTAGAGATGAGGTTTCACCATGGCCAGGCTGGTCTTGAACTCCTGACCTCAGGTGATCCACCTGCCTCGGCTTCCCAAAGTGTTGGGATTACAGGTGGGAGCCACTGTGCCTGGCCTAATTTAAATCTATTTCTAAACAAGCTTAAGCACTTTACATTCAACTGCATGTTAAATTACATTTATGAACTTGCTTTAACTGCCACAGCAGCAACACAAAAGCATTATGGATTTATACACAAAGAGTGAGAGGGTGAGTGAGACAGAGAGAGGTTTAAATGACAGTAGGCATTTGGATATGTTACAAAAAACTTCAAGGCAGTAAGAGTATTTAATAATACTCTTAAAAGAAGTTTCTACAGACGGGAAAATACTCTTTCTCTGCAGTGAGAAACATCATCTCTGTAAGAAAGTTTATTTATTTAAACTATTTATTTTATAGACAAGATGTCACTCGGTTGCCCAGGCTAGGGTGCAGTGGCACCGTCATAACTTACTGCAGCCTTTAATGCCTCAGCTCAAGTGATCCTCCTGCCTCAGCCTCCTGAGTAGCTGTGACTATAGGTGTGTACCACCATGCCTAGCTCATAAGAAAGTTTAAATTTAATAGTGCCAGCAAAAGAATAGGTTATGAGCTTATAATTTTCATAATTTTGTAAATACTTACTCTCAACAATTTGGTGTGTATGTCTGAAATTTCACCTAACTCTGCCGCTTCTAGGTTGATCTTCATCAACTTTTCGTAACTGTATGAAAAGTCACAAGAGAAAATTAAATGAGTAAAATCAATACATAGTTTTAAAAAGATGTTTTATAGACCGGGTGTGGTGGCTCACACCTGTAATTCCAGTACTTTGGGAGGCCGAGGTGGGTGAATCACAAGGTCAGGAGTTCGAGACTAGCCAGATCAACATGGTGAAATACCGTCTCTACTAAAAATACAAAAATTAGCCAGGCATGGCGGTGTGTGCCTGTAATCCCAGCTACTCAGGAGGCTGAGACAGGAGAATTGCTTGAACCCGGGAGGCAGAGGCTGTAGTGAGCTGACATTGCACCACTGCACTCCAGCCTGGGTGACAGAGCGAAGATTCCACCTCAAAAAAAAAAAAAGTTTTATAAATAATATTTGAGATTTTATCATAACCATTTAAAAATTAAAAAATGATTCAAAGTCTATAAGCCAGCAGATTGTTTAAAAAAACCCTGATGACGGCTGGGCATGGTGGCTCACACCTATAATCCTAGCACTTTGGGAGGCCAAGGAGGGCAGATCACGAGGTTAGGACATTGAGACTAGCCTGGCTAACATGGTGAAACCCCGTCTCTTTCAAAAATACAAAAAAAATTAGCTGGGCGTGGTGGTGCATGCCTGTAGTCACAGCTACTCGGGAAGTTGAGGCAGGAGGATCAGTTGATCCTGGGAGGTGAAGGTTGCAGTGAGCTGAGATTTTGCCATTGCACTCCAGCCTAGGCAACAGAGTGAGACTTCGTCTCAAAAAGCAAAAGCAAAACCAAAAAAAAAAGACCCAAACCTGATGCCTTCCTGAAGAAGGAATTTTATCTGCTTCTATTTTAAACTTGCAGATTAAAGGATAAAACAGAAAAGACAAATTAATTTCAAATAGTCTTATGTGAGGATAATAGTAAAAATACTACATTTCATAATTAATGGAGGTCAATAGCGAATACTAATTTCATTTACTATATTTTCTCTGCAGTACAAATAGTATATTCTAGAAAGAGGGCAGTTTAAAATATCATTCTGTTTCAATACACATTTTCAGGAATAAAATTAACAAGAATAAACTAGAACGAATTCCTAAAATTCTGAAACTACTACCAGGTTGTTCTAGAATACCTCTTCCTATTTCCTTTGTTGACTACAGGTTTCATATTTTCTTATTCAGAGTTTCTGTTTTGCAAGACAGAAATAAGATGTTTTTCTCACTACCTTTTGCTAGCTAATGGCTGGGAGGAAATGCCACTAAAGAGATGGTATTCATTTCTTACCAAGAAAATTGGCACTTTTGCCTTTATGGTGATGAAGTAATCACTAATCTAAGGCTGATTTTTTTTTTTGATACAGGGTCTCACTCTGTCACCCAGGCTGGAGTTCAGTGGCATGATCTCAGCTCACTGCAACCTCTGCCTCCCAGGTTCAAGCAATTCTCCTGCCTCTGCCTCCCGAGTAGCTGGGATTACTACAGGCACATGCCACCACGCCCAGCTAATTTTGTGTATTTTTAGTAGAGACAGGGTTTCACCATGTTAGCCAGGACAGTCTTGATCTCCTGACCTCATGGATCCACCCGCTTTGGCCTCCCAAAGTGCTGGGATTAAAGGCGTGAGCCACTGTGCCTGGCCAAGGCTGATCTTTAATATAAACCCTTGCAGAGCATGTGATATTGTACCAAGAATAACTAAATCAATGAACAGAAATGGAACATTAAATAATTTAACCCTTAATAGTAAGGAAGCAGTCTACTCACACTTTCACAGTTTTTTCAATGTTTCTGATACAGAAATCCAATGTGATCACAACTTCTGTCTTTTTGTGAACAGTTTCATTGTAATCATCTTTAACTAATTCACTAAAAAAAAGAAATTATTCCCATTAGTTTATCTAAGGAGTTATTTTTTCTTATCTATCACTAATTATACTGCTGTTCAAAAACATTTTATAATAATATTCTTATTAGTCAATTCACACATTTTGAGATACTATAATTAAAAGCATTTCTGTGACCATATATATATATATATATATATATACATACATATACATACACATATATCTAGGGAACTTATATTTTCACAAACCATTACTACTTAAACAGTTTAGAAACCTAAGGTATTAAAATTACATTAAAAAGTAAAAACAAATCTACAATTACACAAATAGTTTGTAGAGCATTACAGTTTATACTGCCAGAATTAATGTTTACTACTCATAGCAGACTACTGTCTGACTTATAAACCAATTACAGGTTGAATATCCCTTATATGAAATGCGTGGGACAAGGCCAGGCGCGATGGCTCACGCCTATAATCCCAGCACTTTGGGAGGCCGAGGCGGGTGGATCATGAGGTCAAGAGATTGAGACCATCCTGGTCAACAAGGTGAAACCCCGTCTCTACTAAAAATACAAAAATTAGCTGGGCATGGTGGTACGCGCCTGTAGTCCCAGCTACTCGGGAGGCTGAGGCAGGAGAATTGCTTGAACCCAGAAGGCGGAGGTTGCGGTGAGCCGAGATCATGCCATTGCACTCCAGTCTGGGTAACAACAGTGAAACTCCATCTCAAAAAAAAAAAAAAGAAAGAAAAAGAAAAAGAAATGCTTGGGACCAGAAGTGTTTCGGATTTTTGGAATATTTGCATATATACATATGCAAATGTGTATGATTAAGCATCTCTAATCTGAGATCCAAAATGTTCCAATGAGTATTTCCTTGAAGCATTAACTTTGAGCAAAAAGTTTCAAATTTTGGAATATTTTTTATTAGGGATGCTCAACTTGTGATGTAATCTCTGATGAAGGATGACAAAGTAAACAATACATAATTGAAGAACGCTTGATCTACATCAGGGATCAACAAACTAAGAACTGAGGCCTGCTTTTGTAAGGTCCATGAGCTAACATTACACTTTTAAAGGTTGCAGAAACAAAGAAGAGACCACATGCAGCCCACAAAGTCTAAAATATTAGACTGCCAACAGTAGTTTACATTAAAACTATTTTCTCATGACTTACTGAACTATAAACTAATAAGTAAAAGAAATAAAGCTTCATTGAGGATCAGCGATTAAGGGTAGACGAGAGAGAAAATGAAAACTGTTAGTACACAGAGCTTTTTCCAGAAACCAGTAAAAACAAGGAAGCTTCTTAGTAGAAATATAGAAACATAGGCTTAGGAACCAGACATGTGAACCCAGTGAAAAATATAAATACAAATTTATGGGTTTCATATAATGCTAACAGAAAAAAAAAAAGGAGCCTAATAAAAGAGCGATGAAATGCTTCACGTCCATTTTTGCAAGAAGGGGTGGGTATGAGGTAGGCATACAAAAACTGTTAAAAGCATTACAGTCCAAGGGCACATACATAGTGTAAGAGTGCAGAAAACAAATTTCTCAGCATCTGTCGGCCACAAGGCCATTACGATGTGTGTGCAAAATTCAAAAGCTTTGAATGATGTGTAGAAATAAGCATAATTCCCAAAGAGATCAATTATTTTCCATTTTTATCAGATGGAAAGATGCCATCTATAAACCATGAAAAGTAAAAAAAAAAAAAAGGTAAAAATTATATCCATCTTATATTTCTAAGAGTCATTTTAGGAAGAGATGACTTAAACTAGATGATCAGTTAACTATATTAAGCGATCTAGTGTTAAAAAATTCGCTTTTAAATTGCTTGTTAGATTACATATTCATATTGTATGATTTCATTTATATGAAATGTCTAGAATAGGCAAATGTATAGAAACAGTATATTAGTGGTTGCCTAGGGCAGGGCTGTGTTGGCAGAAATGGAGAGTGAATACTAATGGATGCAGAGTTACTTTCTGGGGTGATGAAAATGTTCTAAAATTAGAGACGATGGCTTTACAACTCTGGACATACTAAAAACCACTGAACTGTATGCTTAAATGGGTAAATTATATAGTTTATGAATTCTATCTCAATGCTGTGAAGGTTGGGTGTAGTGGCTCTCACCTGTAATCCCAGCTGTGTGGGGCTGACTGCTTGAGCCCAAGAGTTTGAGACCAGCCTGGGCAACATAACTAGACCCCATCTCTACCAAAAAAAAAAAAAAAAATTAGCTGGGCTTGGTGGAGTATGCCTGTAGTCTCAGGTACTTGGGAGGCTGAGGCAGTAGGATCACTTGAGCCCAGGAGTTTCAGGCTGCAGTGGTCTGTGATTGTGCCACTACACTCTAGCCTGGGTGACAGTGAGACCCTGTCTCAAAAAGAAAAAAAAAATGCTGTGATGAAAAAGTACTGTGAATTTCATTTGGGAAAATGATAGGAAATGAAGGAAGACTCTGAGGACTTAAATGCGAGAAAGTACAGACTGCTGGATTATAACAAGCCAAAGCCTTCTAACATAGTGAAATGACAACCGAGTCAAGGTCCTAGGAAAAGAAATGCATTTGCCGTCACATCCTATAGCGTGGTATAAGTTTTAAAATTCAGATATACTATTTGTACAAGGTCATTGTAGGACTCATGAAAAAATACCTGCTAAATGTAAAACATTTAGCTAAATATGAAACAAATGCATTATAATAAAAATCAAGCACCTAACCTAACTAGTCTGAAGAGAGAAAATATCAATGATGAACGAGGTCTACATGAAAACCAATTTTCACATTTCAATCTACTACTTACATCAGCCATCGTATCCCCTTTCGCATTAATTCCTGATAAAGCAGTAAGGTACTGGCGATTCTGCAGGCATAACACACAACCCCTGTTATTGCCTAATGAAGAAATAAAATGTGAATATTTGGTGCTAATTGCGGTATAGGGTAAGAAAAACTACACAAAATTATTCAAGCTTATACATTTTCATCAGGTTAATTAAAAACAATAAACCACCAATTTCTAAAAGTTAAAAACAGATATAACTATAATAAATATGTCATCCTTAACATTATCTGAACATGCACTGTCTCAATGGAGAGAATGTTCTTATATAATAAATTCAAGAAAGGATAAAAAGTAAAAAAAGAAAGACCAGAAAATAACTTGGAAAGGGTATCAATTTAAGTGAATAATTTCCTAAGTCATACAGGCATACATGAAGACACAATACATGTTATTGCTTCTACTATTGATAGAATACATTAAATTGAGATGTTTACATAGTAATTCAATTAAATACTAACCTTAGCCATGCTAGCATCCCCATCTAAATCATACCGTGGATGCACTTTAGGGAGGGAAACTGAAATATGAAGTAAAATAAAATGAGAAAGAAAACTTTTTGAAAAAATCACTTTATCCTTTATAGAGCAAACAGAATATCTAAATTAAACACTGGTAGCAAAATCTTTAATGTACTTTTCAAACAATAATGCTCATTCTCTAACAAATTACCTCCAATATTTCTAAGAAGTTTCATTTTTTCCTTAACTATATTCCAACACAATGAGTTCAATGCTTCTCTTTAAATCTACATCAACTCCCAACCCTTAAATAGAAATGTAAATTCTGGGTGATTCATTTTTTTTTTAACCAGTAGAATGAATAATTTAAAAGATTCTAAAAATGCAGATCTATTTTTTCTTAGACTCTAAAGCTTTGCACAATGTTGTATACATACTGGACACAAAAAAATGTTTGCTGAAATTTATGATATAAAAGGCAATTTTGAGTGTTAGTAAAACATTTTTTTTTTTTTTTTGAGATGGAGTCTGGCTCTGTTACCCAGGCTGGAACGCAGTTGCACAATCTCAGCTCATTGCAACCTTCACCTCCCAGGTTCAAGTGATTATCCTGTCTCAGCCTCCCAAGTAGCTGAGATTACAGGCACCCTATTTTTGTATTTTCAGTAAAGACGGGATTTCACGGTGTTGGCCGGACTGGTCTTGAACTCCTGACTTCATGATCCACCAGGCTCAGCCTCCCAAAGTGCTGGGATTACAGGTGTGAGACACCAAACCCGGCCAACGAAACACTTTTAAAAGAGAGTTATGGTGAAATGTATAACAAATAATTTTGTCATTTTATGAAACAAAATTTGAAGTCAAATGATGTCTACAAGGCTTTTCAATTTTACTATTGCTGTCTTTCAACTATAGTAACATAAAATTTAATATTTATAAAAGCTCTACATTAATGTCACTATCAACTTCATAAAGATGACAATCATTTCTACAATCACAAATTTTGTGGATTTTTTTGTTTTTGAGACAGGGTTCCACTCTGTTTCCCAGGCTGGAGTGCAGTGGTGCAATCTTGGCTTACTGCAACCTCTGTGACCTCAGCCGATCCTCTGACCTCAGCCTCCCATGTAGCTGGGAATATAGGTACAAGCCACCATGCCCGGCTAATTTTTGTTTTATTTTTTGTAGAGATGAGCTCTAAATATGTTGCCTAGACTGGCTGTAATTTTTTGATGGCCAGTAAGAACAAGAAAAACCCTAACTTACTTTTTTCATATATTAATCCTATGGTATTCAAAGGTTCCCGGCTTACTACAAAGATGGGATTTTCCTCAGTAGTTTTAGGGAAATGCTGTGCTAGTCTTCCAGGTTCTAAGACTAAGCGTCGTCCTTCATAGATAAGTTCTTGATTTGAAGAAAGAATTTTGGTTTGTTTATACACCAGTTCATGAAATATAGTAGCACTGTGTGAGAAAAAATCAAAAGGACATTGTAACTGGGGATAAAGTAAGAGGCAAAATCTTTTTAAAGTGCAACAATATTCATTTCTAACTCATATTCCTATGATCATAACAAGTTTATATAAACTTGCTTTGTTAATGTGGATACTACAAACCCCCTTCCATATAACCTGTCCATACAGTAAGCAATTCTAAAGTATTGTTATGTTTGGATACCTATGTAATATATAGGATTCTTAATATTTTCTTTTCTGTGTGTGTACGTGTGTGAGAGTATTTTCTTTCGCGCATGCGTGCGCCTGTGTGTGATAGAGTCTCCCTCTGTCACCCAGGCTGGAGTACAGTGGCACGATCTCGGCTCACTGCAGCCTCCACCTCATGCGTTCAAGCGATTATTGTGCCCCTGCCTCCTAAGTAGCTGGGATTACAGGCATGCACCACCACGCCCAGCTGATTTTTGTATTTTTAGTAGAAACCATGCTGGCCAGTCTGGTTTCAAATTCCTGGCCTCAAAGTGATCCACCTGCCTCAGCCTCCCAAAGTGCTAATATTACAGGTGCGAACCACCGCACCTGACCAAGATTCTTAGTATTTTCAAATAGAGAACCAATGTAGCAGAGATGTTTAGAGTACTGACTTGAATCAGATACCTGGGTTCAAATCTTAGCTTTTCCACTAACTTGCTATATAACCATAAGTGACTTAACTCTTATGCACCATTTCCTTAATAGTAAAATGGAAATAATAACAGTACCCACGTCACAGAATTGTTGTGAGGAACAAATGGCTTAAATATGTAAAGAACCAAGAACAGCACTTGTCATGTGACTGTATGTTTGTTAACTAAATTAATAAAATGAACTATTTTCAAAATGATGATTTAGGGAAAAGATAGCTTCCCCATGAATAGATCAATGACATCAAAAGAAATGTTTCAGCAGCAATACTGTAATTTGGCTCTACAAGCCTCCATTGGGTGACCTTTTGAAAAATTTTTGTTTCTAATTTTTGTGTGTACATAGGAAATGTATGTGTTTATGGAGTACATGAGATGTTTTGTTACAGGCATGCAATATGTAATAATCACATCATAGAGAATGTGGTATCCATCCACTCAAGCATTTATCTTTTGTGTTACAGATAATCATATTATACCCTTTTTAGCTTTTTAAAAATTTATAATTAAGTTATTACTAACTATAGTCACATTGGGTGAGCTTTTTAAAAACATTTTGACATCACTATAGATTCACATGCAGTTCTAAGAAACAATGAAGACAGACACCATATATTCTTACCCCAGCTTTCCCCAATGGTAACATCTTGCATATAGCAAAGCATTACAACCAGCTATTAACACTGATTCACTCAACTTACTCAAATTTCCCCAGTTTTACATGCAAGCGTATGTTTGTATACAGTCATGCATTGCTTAACAATGGGAATAAGTTCTGAAAAATGCACCATCGTGTGAACATCATGAAGTATATTTACAGAAAACTACATGCTATGCCTTCTACATACCTAGGTTATATGGTATCTAGCCTACGGCTCCTAGGCTACAAACCTGTACAGCACGTTACTGTACTTAATACTGCAAGCAGCTATAACACAATTACTAACAGTATTTGTATATGTAAACATATTTAACATAGAAAAGATACAGTAAAAATATGGTATAATCTTATGGAACCACTGTCATATATATGGTCCATCACTGGCCATTGTATGCAATTTTATCACATGGGTAGTTTTTCTTAAATCACATGGGTGTGTTTTTGTTTACATAAAACAAACACTGGCTATTTTTCCAGCACCAGGTACTTTAACCATTATTATGGTTAATAATAACCAAATTATTTGCATATGGTTATCATGTGCAAATAATAACCATGTTAACTATATTTAAGACTTAGGCTTTGATACTTTAAACATGGGAGGATAGTGCACTTAGTAAAACCCGGCTCATTTATTGGTAGATGCCATTTGTGGTTATGTGATTATGTAACTTGAAAGAAGGCACTGCAATGAAAGTAGTCTTGTAAAACTTACAGTTTAAGAATAAGCTAATTTAACTATAATTTTAGAATATCAGTCCTTTTACTCCAAAAATAAGTAAAAAGGAATTTAGTAAGAACTTAAATATAATTTTCTATGTGGGAAGTGTGGGTGCTTTTAGTGAGGCTGAGGCATCTTTTCTTTCTTTTCCTACCTTAGGAAAATATAACAGAATATGTTGCTGTAAGAAGAAAATAGAGATACTTACGTATTATAGCTATGAATATAAATCTTATGAGCTGTCATTTGTTGTAGCGAAAAAACATGAATTATCATTCGGTGAAGTATATCACTAGTTTCTGCAAAAAACTGGTCAAAACCCCAACACTTTTCCTGATCTGCTTCAAGGATGTTTGCAAGAACAGGCGTAAGTAGAACCTGAAGACCCCTAAAATGGTATTGAAAAGTTACTTGAAGAATGAATATATCATATTCTGTCTAGATTAATAAAATCATAATATTTACCAGCAAATTAAAGGAACTGTCATTATTATATTAGATTAATTTAAAAAATTTTAAATCTGTCAACTTTTCAGAAAGCTAGGTAACCTTCACTTAATATCACTCATCAATGAATCAGAGGTTACAACTTTTTTTTTCTTCTAGAAATGGGGTCTTGTTATCCTACCCAGGCTGAAGTGCAGTGGCTATTCACAGACACTTTATGCATTGCAGTGTCAAACTCCAGGGCTCTAGTATCCTGTCTCAGCTTCCTGAGTAGCTGGGATTATAGATGTATGCCGCTATGCCAAGCCTATTACATTTTTGGTAGTTGCTTTCACTGCTGATTTGTAGTGCCTGAAGTTCTTGCTATTTAAAACAAGTGTTCATTTCCTGAGCCCTTTACATTTTATCAGTTTGCCCAAGATCCTCAAAATGAGTATTTCCTAAATCAAAATTTAACACAAATCACAATTATAATGTTACATTTCTGCTCTCCAACACAATGAATTTCTCTTGGTAATCTAGTCGCAAGACAATTTTATTTTGGAAACCTTTTTAAACAACATACACAAGAAAACTGTTACAACAGTGGTTTTTCAAAATGATTTCAGCATTGGAACTCTTGGTTTAAATGAATTTTCACAGAACCCAATATATAAAATGCTAAATATTTTATTAGTTTGTTTTAGATATTTATTTAGTTAAAAGTCATACAAAATGCACCCACAACTTAAAAATGGGTGTTAAGTCAGTAACTCACCCAATTTTGGATTATATAACTACCACACTCAGGAAAAATGGAGTTAATTCAGTAATCACAAATTCTAAATACTGATGCATGTCTTGGCTTTTTTTCCAGAGTGAAATACAAACAATTTACTTTCTACTTTTAATTTCTTTTACCTTAATTCTTTCTTTGTGGTAACAGAATTCTTTTTTTTTTGAGACAGAGTCTGGCTCTGTTGCCCAGGCTGGAGTGGAGTGGCACAATTTTGGCTCACTGCAACCCCCAGCTCCCGGGTTCTAGTGATTCTCCTGCCTCAGCCTCCCAAGTAGCTGTGACTACAGGTGCGCACCAAAACATTCCCAGCTAACTTTTGTATTTTTAGTAGAGATGGGATTTCACCGTGTTAGCCAGGATGGTCTTGATCTCCTGACCCTGTGATCCACCCACCTCGGCCTCCCAAAATGCTGAGGTTACAGGTGTGAGCCACCGCGTCCGGCCACAGAATTCTTAAATGACCATATAATTTGTTTGAGTTCTGCCTGTGTCATTAAACAAGACCTATACGAACATTTGAAATGCTAAAAAGTACAAAAAGCCTATTATTTCTCACCCTTTGACTAATTCAAATTTTTTTTTTAAATGAGGATAATACTAAATGTCTTTACTGTTTGCTTTTTACAACTCCAGTTGAGAAATTTACTCATATCCAAACCACTATTTGTTATCTATCAATATGGAGGTCATTACAAAAAATACTAAAGTCCTGAGCAGGATCCCCACACTGGGAAGAATTCCAAGACCAGTGATTACCAATCTTAAAAATGTATGCCCTGTGTCCTAATGCAGATCAGGGGAAATTATTTGTATAGTCACAAAGACAAAAACCATTTATCAAGGTATATGCTTTCACAATATCTAATTAAAATAAAATCAAAGTATACTTCAGTATTTGAGTACCTGTGGTTTTAGGCAAGAAAGATTTCAAATACCAAAGTGCAAAAGATAAGAATTAGGTACACCATACTTACCGAGAAAGACTGCAAGAAACAGGCATGTCTCCACTCCAGTCAATTGGTCCATTTTCTGCTTTCTGTACTCCAGATATTGCACCAGAAGGCTTTCCTGTAATTATTTTATACCTTGGGAGGAATAAAAGCAGAATAAAATATGAAGTTCATTTTTGCATGACTTATTAATGGGCTTTGCAAAAGTATTTCCTCAATTGCACCTACAATTATCTACTAGATGAAACTTTGTGACTGATGTTCACAGGATCCATAAAACAATCAAAATACTTTGAATCTGACTGACTGAAGAATAGTGGTTGTATGGTTATTTTATATATGCCATAATTAATTTTCATCTGAGATCTGAGTGCTTTATAACAGCATCTTGATGTTCACAACAAAAATATTAATTTTCCATCTGAAAAAACCGAGCAAACACAAAATAAGTTATGTCACAGAATGTCTCTAGACCATGAAAAAAAAAAAAGCATCTAATCCCTCTTACCCATATTATTCAAAGGCACAACTAAAGTGTAAAGTTTCTGCAGAATGAATAGCATTCTTTAAAACAAAAAAGATAAAACTATACAGAGCAGTGTCAGATTCTTTGCACACTGGAAGACTCACATTTGCACATTTTGGAAAAAGCACATTTGTTCAATGTTAAAGTAAATGTGCTCCGAGCAAATCAATATTAAAATAAAATAGAACAAACCACTACAACCAATTTAGACCATTTGCTGCTTCCTCAGCAGAGGCAGCCATGATTTTTGCCTTAAGAAATTTTCAAAGAGGAAATTAATGTGAAAAATAAGGTGTGTTCATGTGAGAACTATTTAAGGAGTAAGTGCACATATGTGAGATTAATGCAAAAGAGAAGTGAATAAATGGCAAAATTCTCAAAGGAATGCTTACAAGTTTTAAAAAAGTTTACCTTTGATAAGATCCATTTATAAATACATTCCTGACATGCAAATGAGATGCTGAGAAATCACTGCCATAATGTTGGATGACTACATCCTTCATTAGTAAAGTAAAACAATTATTATTACTGAGTACTTCAGCCACTTCTGAACATTCTTTAGATCAATGTTCATAAAAAGTTGAGTTTCTGTGATAATAAAGTAAAATTCTTCTAATGGTATATCTGCCCACATGGGTGTCAGACAAAATTATCCAGTATTCCTAGCTACTTAAGAGTTATATGAGTCCTTTATTAGGAAGCAACACACACTTTTATTTAAACCATTTTTAGGGCAGCAAGAAATGCTGACATTGCTTTAAATGCTGATAATATCTATGATGATAAAACTGTAACTGTTAGGCACAATTTATGTGTAATGAGAAAAACACAAAATATCACTTTTTGTTAAGGAATAGATTTCGTTAAAAGGGCAATGCTATAAAGCAGGCTCATTAGGATGCTATACCAAAATTGTCAGTACAGTTAAATAGATGTCTTCTTTCCATAAACACGTACACTGTCCTTGTTGGAAAACATTCAGATACCCAAGTTTTAGCAAAAGTCATTGTACCATCTGAATTTGTTTTACTTCCTTCAACCAACAAAAGGAAAAACATCTTTCTCCCTCAATTTTTTGAGAAGAGATTAAATACTTGCATTTTTTATAGTTGTGACTATTACTTTAAGTCATGATTGCTTCATAAAAGGTAGGGCCAGGCTGAGTCTGGTGGCTCATGTGTGTAATCCCACCACTTTGGAGGCTGAGGGGGGACAGATCACTTGAGGCCAGGAGTTCAAGACCAGCCTGGCCAACATGGTGAAACCCCATCTCTACCAAAAATAAAAAAATTAGCTGGGTGTGGTGGCATCCATCTGTAATCCCAGCTACTCAGGAGGCTGATGCAGGGGAATTGCTTGAACCTGGGAGGTGGACGTTGCAGTGAGCTGAGATTGGGCCACTACACTCCAGCCTGGGCAAGAGTGAGAATCTGTCTCAAAAAAACAAACAAAGCAAAACAAAAAACCAAATGAAACAAAACAAAAGGTAGGGTCAAATATATAAAAGTCTGAGAAATATGTTAAGACCTAAAAGAATGACTGGACAGGTTAGGCTGTCAGTGGTTGTTGTCCATTCATTAAACTCAATATTCTTTACATCACAGTTTTATGTGTATGTGGTTTGGCTTTCTCATGAAACAAGGCTATTCACGAATGTCTTTTAAAATAAAAAGAAGTGTGGCTAATTATGGGTTATTTTTATAATTAATTTCACATCTAGAAATCCATCTCTCTTTTCCTTGGCTTATAAGAAATGAGTTTATACACACAGTAACTATTTTTTAATAATTATGGCACTACACTTTAACAAATTAGGCACAGAAGGAACATATCTCAAAATAATAAGAGCCATCTATTACAAACCCATAGTCAACATCATTCTGAATGCGCAAATCCCCTAAGAACTGGAATAAGACAAGAAGGCCTACTCTCACCACTCCTACTCAATATAGTACTGAAAGTTCCAGCCAGAGCAATCAGGCAAAAGAGAAATAAGAGGCATTCAAAGAGGAAAAGAAATAGTCAAATTTTCTCTTCACTGACAATATGATTCTAAACCTAGAAAACCCTAAAGATTTTGCCAAAAGTCTCCTAGACCTGACAAACAACTTCAGCCAAGTCCCAAGATACAAAAAAATATATACAACTATCCTCTCTCTCTTCCCGCTGCCCAAGATGCCGGAAAGAAAGAAGGCCAAGGGGAAGAAGGTGGCTCCAGCCCCCTGCTGTTGTGAAGAAGCAGGAGGCCAAGAAAGTGGTGAATCCACTATTTGAGAAAAGGCCTAAAAATTTTGGCATTGGACAGGACATCCAGCCCAAAAGAGACCTCACCCGCTTTGTAAAATGGCCCCGCTATATCAGGTTGCAGCAGCAGAGAGCCATCTCTATAAGCGGCTGAAAGTTCACCCAGGCCCTGGACCACCAAACAGCTACTCAACTACTTAAGTTGGCCCACAAGTATACATCAGAGACAAAGCAGGAGAAGAAGCAGAGGCTGTTGGCCCGGGCCAAGAAGAAAGCGGCTGGCAAAGGGGACGTCCCCACTAAGAGACCACCTGTCCTTCGAGCAGGAGTCAACACCATCACCACCTTGGTGGAGAATAAGAAAGCGCAGCTGGTGGTGATGGCTCATGATGTGGATCCCATTGAGTTCTCTGTCTTCTTGCCTGCCCTGTGTCGTAAAATGGGAGCCTCTTACTGCATTATCAAGGGGAAGGCAAAACTGGGACGTCTAGTACACAGGAAGACCTGCACCACTGTCGCCTTCACACACTTTATTTGGAAGACAAAGGTGCTTTGGCTAAGCTGGTGGAAGCTATCCGCACCAATTACAATGACAGATACAATGAGATCCGCCGTCACATTGGGAGGCAATGTTCTGGGTCCCAAGTCTGTAGCTCGCATCGCCAAGTTTGAAAAGGCAAAGGCTAAAGAACTTGCCACGAAACTGGGTTAAATGTACACTGTTTTCTGTAAATAAAAATTAAAACAATGCAAAAAATATATACAACTATCAGCAGCATTTCTATACACCAATAATGTTCAAGATGAGAACCAAATCGAGAATGCAATCCCATTTACAATAGCCACACAGACACAAAAATACCTAGAAATACACTTAACTGAGGAGTTGAAAGATCGGTACAAAAACTACAAAACACAGCTGAAAGAAATCATAAATGACACAACAAATGCAAAAGCATTTCATGCTCATGGCTATGATAAACCCATAGCCAACATCATTCTGAATGGGCAATCACCCTAAGAACTGGAACAAGACAAGGAGGCCCACTCTCGCCACCCCTACTCAACATAGTACTAGAAGTCTCAGCCAGAGCAATCAGGCAACATCAATCATTAAAATATCTATCCTGCCCAGAGCAATCTACAGAATCAATGCTATTCCTATCAAATTATCATGTTATTTTTCACAGAATTAGAAAAAATTATTCTAAATTCATATGGAACAAAAACAGAGCCCGAATAGCCAAGGCAATCTGCAAGGCTACAGTAACCAAAAGAGCATGGTATTGGTACAAAAACAGATACATAGACTGATGGAACAGAATAGAGACTCCGAAAATAAAGCCACACATCTACAACCAACATATCTTTCACAAAGTTGACAAAAATAAACAATGGGGAAAGGATACCCTATTTGATAAATGTGCTGGGAAAACTGGCTAATCATATGCAGGAGAAAAAAACTAGACCCCTATCTCTTACCATATACAAAAATTAACTCAAGATGGAATAAAGACTTAAATGTAAGAGCTCAAACTACAAAAATTCTAGAAGGAGATATAGGACATACTCTTCTATATACTGTCCTTAAGGAAAGAATTCATGATGAAGACCCCCAAATCAAATGCAACAAAATAAAAAATAGACAATTAAACTAAAGAGCTTTGGCACAGCAAAAGGAACTCTCTTTATTTATTTATTTATTTATTTATTTATTTATTTATTTTAGAGATGGGGTTTCTCCATGTTGGTCAGGCTGGTCTTGAACTCCTGACCTCAGGTGACCCGCCCACCTTGGCCTCCCAAAGTGCTGGGATTACAGATGTGAGCCACCACGCCTGGCCCTAAAAGGAACTCTCAACAGAATAAACAGACAACCTACAGAACGGAAGAAATTATTTGTAAACTATGCATCTGACAAAAAGGACTAATACCAGAATCTATATGAATCAACAAGACAAAAACAAAGAACTCCATTAAAGTGAGCAAAGGACAAGAACATACTCTCCTCAAAAGAAGACCATACAAGTTGCCAACAAACATGAAAAAAAACTCAACACCACTAATCAGAGAGATGCAAATCAAAACCGCAATAAGATGCCATCTCCTGCCAGTCAGAATGGCTTCTAAAGAGTAAAAAAATAATGGCAGTGAGGTTGTGCAGAAAAGGGAATAATTATACACCATTGGTGGGAATGCAAATAGTTCAGCCCCTATGAAAAGCAGCTTGGAGATCTCAAATAACTAAAAATAGAACTCATTTGACTCAGCAATCCCATTACTGGGTGCATAACCAAAGAAAAATAAGTCATTCTACTAAAAAAGACATACACACAGCAGTATCCACAATAGCAAACACAAAGAATCAACCTAGGTGCCCATCAATGGCAGAATGGATAACAAAGATGTGGTACATATACACCACAGAATAGTATGCAGCCATAAAAAAGAATGAAATCATATCCTTTGAAGCAACACAGATGAAGTGGGAGAACTTTATCTTAAGTGACAATATGATTCTAAACCTAGAAAACCAAATACTATTATGCTCTCACTTATAAGTGGGAGCTAAATCTTGGGTTCACACAGATGTAAAGATGGAGACTAAATAGATACTGAGGACTTGAAAAGGAGGGAGGGAGGGAGATGAGGGCTGAACACTTTTTATTAGACACTATGTACACTACCTGGGTGATGGGATCAATAAAAGCCCAAACTCCAGCACCACACAATATATCCCTTTAACTAAACCTTCACACATACCCTTTGAATCTAAAATAAAAATGGAAATTAAAAAAAAATTGTGATAATACCTAAATGTATATACATTATACTAGTAAAATATATTATGTCTGGACCAAATCTACAACACTGGAAAAAAAAGTTTAATGTAACATTACTACCAAAATATTTTTAATTTAATTTATTTATTTAGAGACAGGGTCTCACTTTGTCACCCAGGCTGGAGTGCAGTGGTGCAATCACAGTTCACTGCAGCCTCAATCTCTTGGGCTCAGGTGATCCTCCCACTTCAGCCTCCCGAGTAGCTGGGACTAGAGGCGCATACCACCATGTCTGGCTAATTTTTGTATTTTTTTGTAGAGACAGGGTCTCACTATGTTGTTCAGGCTAGTCTTGAACTCCTGGGCTCAAGCAATCCTCCCCCCTCAGCCTCCCAAAGTGCTGGGATTACAGGCATGAGCCACCATGCCTGGCCCAAAATGTTCTTTTAAATGGTCAAAGAAATCAGTTCACTTTAGGGTAAGACTGATGCTCATTTTAGATCTGGTAATGATTCTGATACTCCATAGAACTACATTATTTCTTTCAGTTGTACAGGAGAAAAGTGCTGACAAGCACACTGAGTGAAATAAAGTGTGCTAAAATAAAGTCTAGAAAGCAGTACATTTTTAATGATGGGCCCAAGACTGAATACCATTTATACTGTGTATTTAAGATATTTAAACATGATATAGAAAATTATGCATGCTTTTATAAGGCTGCATTCTTTTAAAAAACCAGTTAGCTTAAAATATCGAAAACAATTGTTAAAGCAATTTTCATTAGCATAAACCACTAACAATATGATGAACCAAGATAGAAATAATTTTTTAAATGCTTCTCTGATTTTAGATTGGAAACCACTTACATCACTTCTTTATTCCTACGAGGCCCTTCAAAGGGTCTAAATGGCAGTGATCCAGTAGCTGCATGATAAAATGTTACCCCAATGCTCCAAAGATCAACTGTCGCTCCATATTTCTTCTGATGATCTTTCCTTAGCACTGCTCTCTCGTACATATCAGGGTGCTAAGATTAAAAAAAAAAGATGAAAAATCTATGAACTTGTGACCAATTTTGTTATATAACAAATGGATACTCAATAATGCTTAGAAATTCTATTTTGTTTTCCTAATAACTTCACTTCCTCAATCTGAAAAGACTATTTCACATCTTCCCCTCCCTCCTGAAACCTCCACCACTACCTCCTTTGATCCTCAATTCTGATGGCCTCAATTCATAATTTAATGTGGAAATAGAAGCAATCAGACCAGCACTCCCTTATGCCCTTTACCAAATACAACCTACCTGAATCTGTGTCTGTTCTCTCTTTTTTTTTTTTTTGAGATGGGATAGAGTGCAGTGGCTTGATCTCAGCTCACTGTAAACACCGCCTCCTGGGTTCAAGCGATTCTCCTGCCTCAGTCTCCTGAGTAGCTGGGACTACAGGTGCCTACCATGATGCCTGGCTGATTTTTGTATTTTTAGTAGAGACAGGGTTTCACCATGTTGACCAGACTGGTCTTGAACTCCCGACCTCAAGTGATCCACCAGCCTCGGCCTCCCAAAGTGCTGGGATTACAGGTGTGAGCCACTATGCCTGGTCAATCTGTGTCCGTTTTCCAGGTCTACTTTCCAGTCACAATTGAACTGCGCCTATACACGGCCAACTTTTCCATCTGTGCTGTGGAACCCATCATATCATCTTGCCAATTCCAGAACTCAATTCTTGTAATTATCCCACTTATTTTATGCATCAATGTTTCCTTCTGTTCTGATTCATTACTTTCTGCTTACAAACATGCTTTAATATCTCCCATTTTAAAAGATCTCTAAATTGACCACAAAACTCCCTTCAACAATAACCCAATTCTCCACTTCCCACCACAGCAAAACTTCTCAATCCAGCTGTCCATGCTTATTATAACTGCCTTACTCCCTCATCTCCCATTCAGGCCTAATGCATTAAATATCATCTGTATGCTTTACTTAGAAAACTATCTCGGGCCCTGAGCTTCAGATTCATATATCCTACCGTTCTCTGATGTCTAAAACACAGCTCAAACTTGACATATCCAAAATTGACTCGGTATTCCCACTTAAACTTGTTTCCTTCTAATCTTTAAGTAAACAGTACCACTAACCATCTAGCTGCTCACACCCAAAACCAACCAGGCAGCCTTGATTTCTTTGCCTTATCCCTCAAATGCAATCTGTCAGGGTAAGCCCATTTAATTTAATGAAATTAAATTCTCTAGAATCAATTCAGAGGACTAGCTTGACTGGGTTCACTGGGGATCTAGGGACATTAAATACACGTCCTTACACACAGGAGATACTACACCAAGCTTGTCCAAGCTGCAGCCTGTGGGACGCATGTAGCCCAGGACAGCTTTGAATGCAGCCCAACACAAATTCATAAATTTTCTTAAAACGCTGAGAGTTTTTTTGCGATTTTTTTTAAAGCTCATCAGCAATCGTTAGCGTATTTTACGTATGGCCCAAGAAAGCAAAAAAGATTGGACCCCCTGCACTATATCATAGTCACTGAGAACAGATGGAGCTTCTAAGAAATTGTTTAGAAGCTTACAGAACCTGACAGAGATTCTGATGGACATTTTGTTTTGCAGAGAATAACGAGAATAACCAGTGGTCACACAAAGCATGGCCTCTTCCCATCTGCCTTCATGAAAGTTATACACTGGCAACTTGAAGATTTCTGGAAGATAAACCTTAAAAAAATGTATTTATGAAGCAAAGTAGAGTTACCACCTAAACGATCCCTTACCAAAACAATTCCTTATGACATTGTGGGATTTGGCTATGGCCCAGGGGACTGGGAACCAGTGCAGGAAACACTGCTGGGAGGGGCTTCTAAATGATGCAGTCTGTGAATCTCACTCCCAACTGATCACAATCTCTGGATTTTTGGGGGTGGGGTGGGGTGGGGTGGGGAGGGGATGGAGACGGGGGCAGAAGAAAGACTCTTTTGAGAACTACACTTTAGTGAGGAATCAGATTGCAGACAAGTATAAGACCTGGGTATTGAAATGAGTGTCCAAACATATGCCTACCAGATATATGTTATCTCAGTGGCTTTACTGGTTCTGTAGCACACCACATAATTATTTTCCAAAGAAGTGACTGCCAAACCTTTGACTTAGCAGCCAGTACTTAGCATGTAAATGATGTCGTGAACAGGCCAAAAGTACCTGGATATGCCTAACGCCTTCTGGAATATAAAGCCTCAGGGGAAGAAGAGACACGGTGATTCTAGGAGACAAAGAGGGACCTCTCACAAGGTGCAATAATATACTGCCTAACTGGTATAGCTGGAAGCTATTCCCTGGGAGTGACTAACTTGGAATGGCTTGACACATGCTGGTCTGATACATTTGTGCCCACTGGCTCTCTCCTGATGTGCTACTGGCTCGGTGTCTGGGCCTGGGCTATTGCATCTGGAAAAACGGCAGAAGGATAAAGCTACTCCAAGGTTTTCAGGATTATATTACTGAGATATAATAAAATATCCATTATATTAAAAATAGTAGAAGAGAGAGTGTGGTGGCTCATGCCCTGTAATCCTAGCACTTTGGGAGGCCAAGGTGGGTAGATCACTTGAGGTCAGGAGTTTGAGACCTGCCTGGCCAACATGGTGAAACCTCACCTCTACTAAAAATATAAAAATTAGCTACTGGGGAAGCTAAGGCATGAGAACTGCTTGAACCCAGGAGGCAGAGGTTGCAGTAAGCTGAGATGTTACCACTACACTCTAGCCTGGGCAAAAGAGTAAGACTGTCTCAAAAAAAAAAAAATTAGCCAGATGTGATGGTGTGCACCTGTAACCCTAGCTACTCGGGAGGCTGGCACACAAGAATCATCTGAACCTGGGAGATGGAGGTTGCAGTGTGCTGAGATCATGCCATTGCACTCCAGCCTCGGTGACAGATTGAGACTCTGTCACAATAACGAACAAAAAAGAGAAGAATGTTTTCTTTGGACTTTAACATACAAAAGAGACAGGACTTAACATTCCCAGGTTGGGAATTCCTGGAAACTTCAAAGTGAGAGAGGTTTTCAATTAAATATGGAATACTGCTAGACTGCTGGGCTTTAGCCTATTATTTATCTCATTTTATAACTTCTGGTGCACTGTATTTGATTATTTCCCACTCTGAAATAGGAAATAAATAGTTTAGAGTTAAATTTCAGCCTAGAGTACAGCACAAACTTAGAGTTAATTTATTTAATGTTTTGCTCTTTCCAATTTAAAAGTCTTAGAGGCAAAAGCTAAACTGTCGTTCTAGGATGTTACATGAAAGATTAATAATTGGTATTGGAGGAGTAACCTCATGAAGGCTGGTATAAGACAGCTGTTTGCTTGTTATGGTAATCATATTTGGGAAAGGCTAGTGGTATTTAGTGGGCAGAGACCAAACACTGAAGGACATACTGCAGTAAATGTGACAGTTCTGAAAAATGATCCTCCTATGTATAGCCTGAATGACTCTGGAATAACCTGCCAGATATCTGTGCAGGTGAGAAATCTATTTTTAACTCCATTTTATATATAACAAAGTATTTTTGTACAGTTTTTCCAAGAATGTAACTATATTTAAATCTACTTTGTTTAGTTAAATTTACCCAAAATTGCTCACTATTTTGGAAAATCATGTCAACAACAACACTACCACTTGAGATATGATTCACTAATACAACATGAATTATCGCAGCACTTTTATTCAAAGTGGTATTACATACAAGTGCAAGCATATATGACTACTTCATTTGTTTGCTCATGAGGCTGTTTCTAAATTTTTACATATTAAATATCTATTATTTTATTATAAAATAATTTCCTCTACATTATTATTAAGATATTATGCTACTTTAATTAGGTATGCAGGGTTTTTTTTTAAAGAAAGAAAGAGAAAGAGAAAGGGGAAGAGAGAATAGGAGTCTTGCTCTATTGCCCAGGCTGGAATGCAATCTAAAAACAGGTATTAAAAACCTCTCTTATGCCGATAATTGTGCTTAACAGCGGAGACAGGAAGGAATAAGGGAAGAAAATAACAAACAAACAGCCAACCAATATTTCATTTAAGTCTGTGAAATGCTGTGCAAATGCTGAAGAGTGATTTACTTCTAATTATGTGGTCACTTTCAAAATAGGTGTAATGTGATACTGAGAAAAATGTATGTTCTGTGGACCTGGGGTGAAGAATTCTGTAAATATTCACTGAGTTTACTTGTTCCAGTTCTGAGTTCAAATCATAGATGTCCCTGTTATTTTTCTATCTCGTTGATCTGTTGAATATCAACAATGTGGTGTCAAAGTCTCCCGCTATTATTGTGCGGGAGTCCAAGTCTCTTTGTAAGTCATTAAGAAATTGTCTTATATATCTGGGTGCTCCTATATTGGGTGCATATATATTTATGATCATTGACTCCTGCTGTTACATTGATCCTTTTACCATTATGTAATGTCCTTCTTTGTTTTTTTAGTCTTTGTTACTATTAAAGCCTATTTTGTCAGAGACGAAAGTTACAACTCCTGGTTTTGTTGTTGTTGTTATTTTTTGTTTTCCTCTCCATTTGATTGATAAGCTTCCATCAACCCGTTGTTTTGAGTCTTTGTGTGTCCTTGCTTATGAGATGGATCTGGATACAGCATACCGATGGGTTTTGACTTTTTATTCAATTTGCCTGTCTGTGTCTTTGATTGGGGCATTTAATCCATTTAAATTTAGGATTAATATTGATATTTGTGAGTTTAATATTGTCATTTAATGCTAGCTGGCTATTTTGCCCATTAGTTGATATAGATTCTTCGTTATGGAGATACTCTTTACATTTTGGTAAATTTTTGGGATGACTGATACTGGTTGTTCCTTTCTGTGTATAGTGCTTCTTTCAGAAGCTCTTGTAAAGCAGGCCTGGTGGTGATGTAATCTCTGAGTGCTTGCTTGTTTGTGAATAATTTTATTTTTCCTTCATTTATGAAGCTTTGTTTGGCTGGATATGAGATT